TCGTTTTTTTTTTTTTGTTAGACTACCTAAAAAGCAAACAAACAAACAAATAAACAAACAAAAAATGACAGAGAAAAAAATCAGTAAAACCAAAAGCTGGGTTCTTTGAGAAGATCAATAAAACTGACCTCTACATTGACTGATCCTCTAGTTACACTGACCAGGAAGAAAAATAGAGAAGACATAAATTACAAATATCAGGAATAAGAAAGGTCACACCACTATAAGTTTTACAGATGTTAAAGGGATGATATAGGTGATATAATGAACAACTTTAGGCCGACAATTTCAACAACTTAGATGAAACAAATTTTTGAAAGACACAAACCACCAAAGCTACATTAATAAATGATACATAACTTGAATAGCCCCATATCTATTAAAGACATTTAATTTATAATTAAAAACCTTTCCACAAAGAAAACTCCGGTCCCAGATGGCTTCACTGGTGAAATTTACCAAAAACATTTAAGAAAGAAATAATATCAATTCAACACAAACTCTTCCAGAAAACTGAAGAGGAGAATTTACTTCCCAATTCATCCTATGAAGTCAGTATTACTCTGATAGGCAAAACCAGAAACATTACAGGAATATAAGACTACGGATGAATTTCACTTATGAACATAGATACACATATTCTAAACAAACCGTCAGCAAATCAAATCATATAAAAAGGAGTGTACATCATGATCAAATGGGGCTTGTTCCAGAAATACAGCACTGGTTTAACATTTGAAAATCAATTAATATAACTGACCATATTAGCAAAGTTTTTAAAAATTGATCATTTCAACAGATGCAGAAAACCATATGACCAAATTCAACATCCATTCCTTCCCTCCACCGCCCACCAAAACAAACAAACAAAACTCTGAAGAAACAAGAAATAGAATGGAACTCCCTCAACCTGATAAGGGATACCTGTGAAAAATCTACAGCTAACATACTTACTGGTGAAAGACTGAATGCTTTCCCCCTAAAATCAGGAAAAAGATGAGGGCATCCACTCTCATCAATTTCATTCAACATTTTACTGGAGAATCTAACAGGAGCAACAAAGCAAGAAAAAAAAAGTAAACTGCACCCAGATTGAAAAAGAAGTGAAACTATCTTTATCCACAGGCAACATGATTGTCTATTTAGAGAATCTGATGGGGCTGGTCCGGTAGCTCACGCCTGTAATCCCAGCACTTTGGGAGGCCAAAGTGGGAGGACTGCTTGAGGCCAGCAGTTCAAGGCCAGCCTGGCCAACGTGGTGAAATCCCATTTCTGCTAAAAATACAAAAATTAGCCGGATGTGGTGGTGCATGCCTGTAATCCCAGTTTCTTTGGAGGCTGAGGCATGAGAATCACTTGAACCCAGGAGGTGGAGGTTGCAGTGAGCCGAGATAGCACCACTGCACTCCAGCCTGGGTGACAGAACAAGACTCTGTCTCAAAAAACAAACAAAACAAAAAGAAAATCCAATGGAATCTAGAAGGAAGGTACTGCAACTAATAAGTGAGCTTACCAAACTTGTAGGATATAAGATCAATATATAAGAAATCATTTGCATTTCCATACATCAGCAATAAGCAATCAGAAACTGAAAATTTTTTAAATGCCACTTAAAACAGCATAAAATATAGTATACTTAGGGATAAATCTGACAAAAGATGTGCAAGGCAGGTACAATGAAAAGTAGAAAACATTGCTGAGAGAAATTAAAGACCTAAATAAATGGAGGTAAGTTGTTCATGGTTTGGAAGACTCAGCAATGTTGTTAGGATGTCAGTTATCCCCAAGCCGATCTACAGATTCAATGTAATCCCAATCAAAATTCATTTATGCGAGACTTAAAATACTGATTCTAAAATTCATATGGATATACAACAGCCTTGGAATAGCCAAAACAATTAGAAAGAGGACAAAGTGGGAGGATTCACACTACATGACTTCAAATTTATTACATGGCTACATTAATAAAGACCGTATGGGAATAGTGCAAGAGTGGATGAATAGAAGAATGGAATTGAATAGAGTCCAGAAAGAGATCCACACATATATGACAACTAATTTCTGATAAAGGTACAAAGGCAATTCAATCAAGAAAGAATAGTTTGTTAAACAGATGATGCTGGAACAATTGGATAGCTCTGTGCAAAATAATAATAATAATAAACTTCAATCTATACCTTGAATCAAATATAAAAATTAACTAAAAGTGGTCATAGACATAAATGTAAAACTAAAAGTGTAAAATTTCTTGAAGAAAACATGAGATGTTTTCTGTCACCTTGCACTAGGCAAAGATTTCTTAAATACAATGCCAAAGGCACAATCCATAAAAGAAGAAAAATAAATAGGACTATGTCAAAATTTAAAACTTCTGTTCATGAAGGATCGTGTTAATAAAAAGAAAAAATTTCCAAACTACATGTCTGATAAAGAACTTGTGTTCACTGAACAGCAACAAGATGGTGAAATAGGACTTTCCAATGCTCATTCCTCGCAAGAACATCAATTTGAACAACTATCCACACGTGGAAAGATCTCCACAAGAGCTAAGAAAACTAGGTGAGAGATTTCAGCACCTGGCTGTGGCACAGAAATAAGAAAAGATGCACTGAAGAGT